GAGCACCTTTGACTTTTTTTTTTTTTTAGACGACGCAGCAATTATAAGCCGAGTCTCGCTAAACGCGACGGATCGGAACAGAATGTGATGATTACTAATGTCCATTCCTCTCTAAATAACACGCTGGTAGCTCGCTCGACTGCCAAAGGAGGGAAAAAAAGATGTGGAAATAAAAGAGAGTGATCAGAGACAAGTGAGATGAAATGATCATTTGTGTTAATCGGATACTATTGCCTAGCAACAGGAACGGGGCGGTTGTACTGGGGAAAATCACTATATTTACCTGCTTTTGTTCTGTTAGTTCAGAACAAGTGATGGGAAAAAATGTAAAGAGAGAGAGAGAAAATACAGAAAATCTATTTGGAGAGGATGATATCGATGACATTTATAACATAAGAAACTGCTAATTGTGTTTGTTTTTTGGTGTGTTTTTTTTTATGAAACCACCGATTTTTTAGTTTTATTCAAATGTTTTCCCTTCTAAGTATGAATTTAATTACTAGTAAAATGAATTTAATAAATTACATTAATATTGATTTTTTTTCTTTTATGCAAGCTTTTTTCTTATTTTTAAATTCATTAATGTATTAATTGAATTACTACTAAAAGTAATGTATACAAACACAATTCAGAAATTATTTTAAAAAGTTACGTAATCATTGTTTATTTTTTAGTCTGTTTCATTCAAATGTTTTTCCTTCTAGTTTTAGATTTAAGGTATTATTAATTTAATTACTAGTAAAATTATTGTATACTTCTGAAAAAAAAAAATCAGAATACAGATACAGAAATTATTTTTAAAAAAAGTGTTTATGTAATTATTGTTTTTCTTTTTTGTTTTATTCAAATGTTTTTCCCCTTCTAACTATTTTTAGATTTATGTTATCAATTTAATTACTAGTAAGATTAATGTATAGTATACTTTTGAAAAAAAAAAAAAATCATAAAATTATACAATTCATAAAATTATTTTAAAATATTTGCTGCTTTTTAATTTTGTTTTAAGTGTTTTTATTATTCTTAGATGTTTATGTAAATATGTAAACAAAATTAGTTTACACATAAATATGAAAATAATATAAAGGATAGTACAGTATAAAAAGAAATTATGTATAAAAATATATAATTTGTTTTATTCAAATGTTTATCCTTCTAAATATTTTTGTTTTAAGGTATTATTAATTTAATTACTAGTAAAATTCATGTATAAATGCATTAAAAAATCATTTAGAAAATCTGTTAGAAAAAAATCTATTAGAAAAAAGTCTTATTTTCATGTAATTATCGTTTTTGTTTTATCGTGTTTTTAACTTTTTTCAATTTTACAGCATTTTACAGTATTACTTATAAAATTAATGTATAATTGTAAATCATTTTTGTAATCATTATTGTTTCTATTTATTTTGATTGATGCAAGTGTTTTTCCTTATATTTTTAGATTTAAAGTATTTTTAATTTAATTACTAGTAAAATGTATAAATAAAAAGTCAATTCATAACTTATAATGACATTTGTTTATTTATATATAATTATTACTGATCAACTTAAATGTATTAATTTACTATAATTAATAATATAAGCTGACTTCCAAGAACATCATGATACTACAAAATATTAAAATAAATTTAAAGCAAATAAATAAATAAAATAATACTAATAAATAAAGTAAAACACTATTAGCATGGCACATTTAAAAAGACAAAACATGGTACTGACCACGGTAACCGTATTCTTTTATATTCTATAATTGTGAAGCTGCTTGGAAACGTTTACTGCATACCTTGGCAGCATCTTTGGGAAGGTCGAAGGGGATTCGTTGGCGTATTTTGGGTGGTAGTTGAGTCAGCACCTGATTCTTGAGTCTGCGAATCATAATCTCGTTCAGACGCTGGTGTAACTCGTCCAAATGAGACGCGCCGCGACAGTCCCACTGCCGTCTGGCCCCGAAAAACCTGCACACAAAAACACACAAACATTTTACTCATTCAGAAAACACACTTGTGCTGTATATCCGCTTAATTTCACCAAAATCCTCAGGTACCATCATTGAAATGAGACCTTTTCTATCTTAAATGTGTGTGCACGAGTCTGTGAGAGATTTCATTATGAATGTTTTATATTTACTGCCGCATATATGAATGATTGACAGGAATTTGTGTGTGCGCTTCCGAGTTTACTCCTCGGTAGATTAATTTGTACTCTGAGACCCTTGTGCGGATCGCTGTCGTTTCATTTCTCCGCTGTAGATTTGATAAGAAGAAGAGAGGAACAAAACTCGTCTCAGATGTTCTGAACACCACTCTTCTTCATGACCCAACTCATATCTGAGCTTCACATTAATGCTGCCGCTACACACACACATATAAACAAATTAGCTCTGCACCAAACCCTAGTCAGCTGTCTACCTAGACAGCATTCTAAAGGATTACAGACTTGCGTTACAGATGTAAAATGTATATTTAACAGAGAAAATAATCCCAGAATGCACTGCGATGAGTTTAGTTGGGGAAAAAATAAGATGGCGGACAGGCAAATTCCATGAAATACTGAAAAATATCAATGAAAATGCTTCAATATAATTACAATGTTACCAATTCACCTAATATTTGTAGGTAATATTCGACATGGGAAAGCTGTAGGGCAAAAACGCAAAGAAAATGGAAAACGCAATTAAAAATATAATAAAAATGTTACTATTTTACCTAGTATTTATGAATGATTTGTACAAAGATTCATTCTGTTCTTAAGAATGGTTTTGCGAGTGAATTGAAAAGACATTCACTGTACTCGTAAGAATGGTTTTATGAACATTTTGCACAAATTCGCTCTGCTCATAAGAATGGTTTTGCGAACAATTTGCACGATTTCATTCTACTTGTAAGAATTTTTTTGCGAACAAATTTCCTGAGAAATTCGCTTTGCTAAGAATGTTTTTTTGCAAACAATGTACAGAAAAATTTTTCTGCTCATAAAAATGATTTTGCGAACAATTTGCATGATTTTGTTCCGCTTGTAAAAAGTTTTTTGCAAACAATTTGCTGAGAAATTCGCTTTGCTAATAAGAATGGATTTTGCAAACAATTTGCAGAAAAATTAGTTCTGCTCATAAGAATGGTTTTACGAATATTATGTACAAATTCATTCTGCATTGTTACGAACGGTTTTGCGAACGATTTGCAGAGAAATTTGAAGTCCTCGTTTGATGAACATTATGCACAAATTCATTCTGCATTGTTACGAATGGTTTTGCGAATGATTTGCAGAGAAATTTGAAGTCCTCGTTTGATGAACATTTTGCACAAATTCATTCTGCTTGTAATAACGTTTTTACAAATATTTTTCACAAATATATCTGTTTGAACGAATGTTTTTGCGAGAGATTTGCAGAGAAATTCACTCTGCTCCTAAGAAGGATTTTGCGAACAATTTGCTGAACAATTTTGCTATACTCGTAAGAATAGTTTTACAATTTCTTTTTTTATAAATTCACTGAACATGAGAATAGTTTTGCGAAGGATTTGCAGAAACATGATGTTGTTTTACAAACATTATTCACAAGTTCATTCTACTCGTAAGAATGGTTTCGCAAACATTTTCACAAAATTATTCTGCTTGTTAGAATGGTTTTACAAACAACATGAGTGTTTTTGGTCAAACCTCTCTGCATCTAAATTCTCTAAAATGACAACCAAAGTTTTAATCAATAAAAGTTGCTCGAGGAATAAATAATAATGATAAAACGGTAATGCTAAATTTAAAATTTATTGCAAACCAATTAGTCTTAGTCTTTTAATTAATGTAGCCATTTTAGTGTTAAACTTTTGGTTGTACTTGAACTGTTTGTCCTTTTTAGTTGTCATTTGAATGCTGTATTGTACATTAAAAAAAGAAGGGTTTTTACTTGTAGTGTGCGTTGCAGTATTTTTTGGCGTAGTCGCTCCAGGTTCCAAACCTCCGTGGATACAAAGCATCGATTTGCATGAAGAGCTGAAAGAGAGATCAAGAGATCAAAACATCAATCAATGTGACATCATAAATGTCATACACAGTACTAACTTTACACTAGTAACTTCCAATGGGAACAAATAACTTTAAAAAGAGGGACACTTTTATAGTTCTGACCTTGGGCCTTTGCAATCATGAGTTTATTGAAAATCGGTCAGCAGATTTCTGTTTATAGCTGGTGCGAACAAATACTCTGCTGATTAAAGCTGATTAAATCGGGTATTAAGTTCATAAAATGCAAATGTGTTTCATCTAAGAGAAAGTCTCATAGTGCACATTACGCTCAGTTAGTATAAACCTAACAGCGATTATCCTGATGAATTAAGAAAACACTTGTCTTTCATAAGAAGACCAGATAGACGTTTCAAAGGGATTAGAAGAACAATCTAGGTTGAGACTTCCATAATATACACACAAGAGTCATCTTGAGAGGTCTTTGCGTACGCAATGATGTACATTTTGGCAATGCTTTTGTCCAGTGAACATTTTAAAGAAAGAAAACAGCAGCTCTCACAGTGTACCAAGAAAGTGCACAGAATGTAGCATCCTTCAAAATGAAGCCTTTAGTATTTCCTGAATAATGTATTGGTCAATTAACTGGCCATCAGTGATGGGTAGATCAGCAATAAAAACTAGTGGGAGTAAACACAATATTTAATATAACGAGAATAAAACGGGCTGTGAGGAGTGGAACTGCAGTCTGTTAAATGGGCTTCATTCATAAAACACGAGCAGAATGAATTTAATATCTAACATTCGGAAAACCATTCATATTGAAGTACATGTAACACTTTACATAAAACATTACTCAGAAATGTGGTCTGTTCATTTTTTTTAACAGATTTGTTCTGCTCATATGAATGGTTTTACAAATTATTTGTACATGGAATTCATTCTGTTTATAATAGTTTTGAGAATGATTTGCACAAACAATTTGCTTGTGATGGCTTTGTTAATGATTTAAATATGAATTTGTACTGTTTGTAATGGTTTGTGAATTTGCACAAAGATCATTTTTTAAGAATGGTTTTGCAACCAATTTGCAAAGAAATTTGCTCTGCTTGTAAGAATGGTTTTACGAACTTCTTGCAGAAATTCGCCTCTCTCATAAGAATGGTTTTGTGAACAATTTGCATTAAAATTCATTCTGCTCATAAGTAGTTTTGTGAACAATTTTCTGAGAAATATTCAGGAATTCATTCTGCTTGTACGAATGGTTTTACGAACAATTTGCAAAGAAATTTGTTATGCTCGTTAGGATGGTTTTACGAACAGTTTGCTCATTCTGCTTGTAAAAGTGATTTTGTAAATTGCTAAATAATTTCGTAATGGTTGTGTAAATGTGCACAAACGTTAGCTCTGTTGTTGAGAATGACTTTGCAGACAATTTGCAAAGAAATTAGTTCAGCTTGTTAGAATTGTTTTACGAACAGTTTGCACATTCTCTCTGCTTGTAAGAGTGATTTTGTAAATGATTCGCAAATGGAATTTGTAATATTCCATGGTTTTGTGAATATTTGCACAAAGATTAGTTCTGTTCTTAAGAATTACTTTGCAATAAAATTTGTTCTGCTCATATGGCTTTGCAAACATTTTGCTGAGAAATTTTTTTCCCAAATGATTTGCTAAAAAATTCGTAAGAATGGTTTGGCAAACATATTTCACAAATGCGTTTTGCTTGTAAGAATGGTTTTATGAATGATTTGCAGAGAAAAATTACTCTGCTTGTAATAATCGTTTTATGAACATTTTGCACAAATTCGTCCTGCTTTTAAGAATGGTTTACAAATGATTTGCAAAGAAATTCGCTTTACTTTTAAGAATGGCTTTCCGAACATAAGAAAATTTTGAAGACAATTTACACAGAAATCCACTTGATTTGTAAGAATAGATTACGAACAATTTACAGAAAAGCTGAACTAGAAATTATGAAATAAAAAATTTTCAGTGAACGATCGACGCTTGTGTACACAACATCACAACACATCATTAAAGAGTCATTTTCATATACCTCAAACTAAATATAGCGTCCACCCTGACCAAGGTCTACCAGAATTCACTAGCCATGTTTTTTGTTCACTGGAGATGTATAGAAAGATACATTTTCAATGTCTCAATATTTGAACAATTCACACACAATTCACACATGAGTATATTGTTGTACCATCAGTTTAACTGCTTCAATTTAAGTGATTGTTCACCAAGTTTTGTCATCATTTACTCATCCTCAAGTTGTTCCAATTCTTTCTTCTGCTCAACACAAAAGAATATATTTTGAAAAATGGTGGTAACCAAACAGCTGATGGTCCCCACTGACTTTCATAGTATTTTTCTCTGCACTATAGAAGCCAATGGGGACTATTAACCATTTCATTAGCCGTATTCTTCAAAATATCTTGGGTTCAACAGAAGAAAGAAATTTCTACAGGTTTGGAAAAACCTGAGGGTGAGTAAAAGATGATAGAATTTAAATTTTTTGGGGGGTGAATTATGCCTTTAAATTAATCCACTCTGACTAAAATCTACTAGAATACAGCAGCCTGGTTCTTGAATTTCTAAAACCGGCATGGCAGAGTTACAGATTGTGACATGAAAGCAAAGACCCAGACAATGTAAAAAATAAGAAGACAGGGCAAAAAAAGAGAGAGACGGGAACAGAGCGAGACAGTGTGAGGACAAGGGTGTTTGTGGAAACTACAAATATTACTGGCACATCTCTGGACAGAGTAATAACAGCAGAGATGAGAGTTGTGCTTTTGAAACCTGTGAAAAAGAGAGCTCTTTCTCTTCCTTCTCATTCAGAGCCGTGGCTCTAAAATCACTTAAAATCCCCTCATTTTTACTCGCATCACCCTTGCCATTGATAGTCCACCTCAACAGAGGTCACTGGGTTACATAAACACCCACGCCAGCGTAATATCGAGGTAAACAGAACAAGGTGGACAAAACCACATGAAATGGGCTAAAATATCCGACACTGGGTTGCTGCATCAAATAAAAGGATAAATGTTGAAAATTATCTCGTTTGATTAATTAAATTTTGCTGCTAGCGGGTCATTAGACCAGCAAGATAGAAACTGCGTGACAAATTTCAAGCTGTCACTTTACAAAAGAAATGAGAATGACTATAAATGTTTATTCCTAACGTAAACTAATGTGCCGTGCAGGAACAAGAACTTCATGTAGTAATCAGATAATTTTATAGTGAGTACAATAGTAAAATAAATGATTTTAATAACCTAGTGATAATATATGGGGGGGGGGGACTTATCAAAACTTTTAGTTTTTGATATTATCGTACTTGCAATTTTGGGTGACATGAGCGATGACTGGAGGATGGGAAATATGTCAGCTAACGACAAGATCTCCTCCTGGTTTAGCTCAAACAAAACCATGCTGCATATTACCAAATGGCTTAATAAATCAAAGCAAATGACAAACAGATTTGGAGGAAACCGTACCTCCTCTGGTCTGCCCAGCGCCGGGGTGCCAGTTAGAAGGATGGCACGCTTGGCGTTCTGAATGATTGGCACCAATATTTTACTACGAGCTGCGTTGCGAGATTTCAGGTAGTGGGATTCATCCACCAGGATGACGCCGAATCGTTGCTTGTTCAGGGCCTCCAGCAGGGGGCGTGCGTCCGTCGTGAGCAGCCCGTATCCCAGTATAGTCACTTTGCTAGTGCCGATGCTCCTACAAAACAACAACAACAAAACAACAAATTCAAATGTGCAACAACTTTTTCAATCAATTTACTTGGCCTTATTCAATGCTAAAGTTAATGCTAAAAAACAACAAAATGTCCACTGTCCACCACAAAAACATTTCTGCTTATGTAACTAAGGCGATGGATGTGGAAAAATACAATATTAAAGTAACAGTTCACCCAAAAATGAAAATTGTCATAATTTACTCACTAAACAGTTGCTGGTTGGTAGCCACTGACTTCCATAGTATTTTTTTCCATTCTATGGAAGTCAGTGGCTACCGGCAACTGTTTGTTTCACAAAATGTTTCAGAATATCTTATTTTGTGTTCAACAGAAAAAAGAAACTCCTAGAGGTTAGGGGGGAGTAAATGATGACAGCAATTGCATTTTGAGGTCTCTTTAACCAACAATATTATAGTTCAAGTTTGGACAGATTAAATCAAGTCCCATCCTGAATATTCTCTTCAAATTTGAATGCATTACTAATTATCATTACTTCTTTGCCTAAAACAAATATAATTTTGGGTCATGACTTACAAACGTACAAACCTGTCAAAACAGAAACTTTGTACACTTAGATACATTTATAATAGTTTATATTACACAAGACCGTAAAAGCATTTTACGAATTTCACGCAACATAACATTCGTGAAAATCTAGGTTCTTCTAAAAACAGAGTTGAAAATGCATCAAAATACCATTGAAATGAGGTGTAAAGGCTTTGACGTAAACAACAAACGTCGAAAACAACTATAAACTATTACAGAGTTAGTTGCGCTTGGCATTTAACGTTACGTTTTGTCTAAAACAAAACAAAACTTACAAATCCATCACAAAAGAAACTGTCTAAACTTAAATATATTTATATCAGTTAATATTATTAGTGTATTTATTGGAGCCACAAGGTGGTAAAATCATTTAATAATTTTTAAGTTTTACTGAATTTATTTTCATACACACTATACGAAACCACGAGCTAAGTTAAGCTAAGCTAAACTTTCACGCAAGAAACAAAAACAATTTTTGGTCACACCACTTCCATGTCGTTTGTGAAGTTGAAAATGCTTAAAAATTCTACTGAAATGAGGTGTAGAGGCTGTCGACAGATGTCGAAAATAAAATTAAACAATTATAGATTTAGTTGCGCTTAGCATTTAACATTACATTTTGTCTAAAACTAATTTTTAATCACGTGATTTTTAAAATGCAATTTTTAATCACGAGATACAAACAAATCCATCACAACAGAAACGGTGTACACTGTAGATATATTCACAACAGTTTATATTTCATTTCATATTTCATTGGAGCCACAAGGTCGTAAAAGCATTTTACGTTTTTTTCACCTCATAGTCTCCCGCTACAGACTGTTTAAAGATGCCAGCCGTACACTGAGAGGAAATGATGTTTGTTCCTGCTTTGCACTATGAGCCATTAAAGTTAAAATATCATTCACCATGCTGACAGGCCTTCATCAAGCTCGGAGGGAGATGTTGCCATGGCAACGACTTTACAGGTCGACTCAACCCCGGGCCAGAATTCTCAGGGTAAACAGAGCAATTTGTGAGCCTCTTTTTAGAAGCATCAATAACAGGCAAAAAGACAACATGACCCTCTGACTGCATGGGCTGTACAATCAATCCCAGCATCCTCTGTGGAAGAGCAGCTCTCATAAGCTCTCTCCCACTCCTAAGATAGAGCTAAAGTATTCTTCGTGCGAGATTCGTAGCCATAAAAGGTGAGCTAATTTAGGATTTGTTTAATATCTCTCTGGGGAGGTGATTTGATTTCATACGTCTGCCGTGTAATTTGTATTGTGGTATAATTTTGTAGTCAGTGAACAGGAGATTTTACTTCAGTTTTGTATTTCTACAGGCTGAAAATCTGCAAGAACGGTTTTCATAACTTTCTAAAGCTACTCATAAAAGTGTGACACAAAGAGGGGGAAAAAAAAAATTATAAATCAAGAGATTTCTTCCCAACTTTTCCGGAGGCTTCTGCAAAGTCATACTCAGTCATAAATTTCATGAATCAATTTTGCCACTATGATTAAACTCACACACAGTCTGAAAGAATCAATGTTTCATTTTGAGCAAAAAATCTCTTGGCCACCAGTGCAGACGTCCTCCAGTACGGTCCACTGGATCGCAATGAATTACGAACCGATGTCCCTCTTTTTTTTTTTCAGGGACTGCAAAACAAACTTAAACGATCGATTACTAAGATGCCCAGTCGGTGTGTGTCAAAATGTAGCTACAATTTACACGTCATTAAACTTTCTCCGCTTGAACAGCATTCAGATGTGACATTTAATATTTAGATTACATGGTCATTTTTAAGATGCTTAGTGGATGTTTGGACATAAATATGACGCATGAAATAGCATGCAATGTTTTCCAGATGGTCTATATATGAAAATAAAATTTTTCATTTAAAAAAATATATTAAAAAAATTCAGCAAATATTATGCAATGTTTTCAAGATGTTGTGCTCTTTCAAAAATGTCTCTGCAACATACGTGCGATTTTTATGAAAGCGACATGTAAAGATAAAGTTTTAAAATATTACATATCGAGTTATTTAGGTCTAAATATCATTACCTAAGATGTTAACTCTAAAAATCCATTTCAATTTGGAGAAAATCAATGCGATTTTTCACTTGTTCACTTCCTGAACCCAAGTGTTGTGCTCTATTGAACTTAAAGGGGTCCTATTATGCTTTTTCACTTTTTCAACTTTAGTTAGTCTGTAATGTTGCTGTTTGAGCATAAAAAAGATCTGCAAAGTTACAAAGTTCAAAGTCCACTTCAAAAGGAGATATTTTATTTAACAGAAATCACTTTTCAAGAACTACAACGAACGACTCATTTGGACTACAACGCATATTTTCCGGGATTAGTGATATCACAAATATCGACGAATGGGACGAGACCTGGTTGAGCTGCACTAGAGAAGGCAACGAGTGTTATCACTATGTCGGAGACACGCTAGCTTTCCCAAGGCAGACGAACTTAGAGTGGTTACAATCATCCGGGTTTAAATCACGCTCAAATTGATTTGAT